ATACCGTTTTCCTAAATATTTAGAGCCAATTACTTCATCGGGATACCAAGTGTAATGGTGAATTTACAGTTAATTTATTTGGTTTGTTTTTTTTTTTAATGGATGATAATGGAATGGTAACCCCACCCGCGCTATCGGTATACACCGACGGGACACCAGTGAAGGATGATAGGTGAGGATGAAGTAGACCAGTTAGCCCATCGTGACGAATTCAACAAGAATTGATCACGATGGTTTCCAGGGGGCCGACGTGGAGGTCGACTTAATAAGGCATATTGCTAGCAATGGGGCTGTCAACCTCCGTTGCTAACAATCCCTTTGCCCCCTATTTGGTTTGGTTTTAAGTTAAAATTTTCTGTTTTCATGTGTATGAACAACATATATATTTTATGGCATGATATGTGGAGTGAACTATATTGATTAGTTTAACCTAATACATATTTATATGATAGTAAGTATATTTATCATTATGATATAAATTAATTCACTATTATAGGCAAAAGGGTTGCCATAAACATTTTTAGTCCAAGAGTGATTACTAATGTGATGCCGGTCAAACACTTATTTCTTGAATATTATTATATATATGAGAATCGTAACCTAACATATATAACCTAACTATATATACAATTTAGAATGGCAAACAAGCTGAAGGCCCACCTGATGGAAAGTGGTAATCGTCGTCTATACACATAAGCAGTACCATGGACATAACAGAGTATACTGTTTCGCTCATGATACCCCCCATGCGTTGCCATTCCTGAGAACTCAGGTGTTATTCCTCTGTACCCAGTAAATTCACGCCATATTCCACCCTTCAAACCGAAACATAGCCATGCAAACACAGCTGCTTCACGGTTGAAACACGAATGGGACAGAGGTACCCAAGCAATCGACCTTTGTAAAAAGTCTCCCTTTTCTAGTAAGTTCGTTTATTTTCATGAAACTCAGAATTCGAAACAATAATAATTAATAATTATCGTCTATGCAAAATTAGTTATTTATTAAAATAAAAACTATAAAATGTTTTAATAACTAAATAATATATTAACACATCAAATACCTAGATAGTGATTAATAAAATATTTCTATAAATTATAATTGTCTGTAAGAATACACGTACCATTAACTGGACTATAATAGCTTCTTCACACGATCCTTACCGTAATAACGTTGCGACATAGCAATGAAATCGTTTCAAAATATTTGTACCGGGCAGGCGTTGTGTACGCACCGTTCGTGCGTTATAAGTAAGCGTAAGTAACTTAATTTGATCCGATAATTACGAATGTGTGTGCAAGCCTTTATTATTATTAGTGAACTAATAATTATCATATCATTGATGTTTACAATAATAAGCGTAACAATATGTAGATGTCTGTACTGTGCTGTCTCGGTCTGTAACAATGGCCAATTAAAAACGTGAACTAGTTTGGAGGAGTTATTGCTCAACGCCATCTAGTTTCATTTTAAGATAAACTTTTACTAGTACTATTACGAGTCATTGGTAGACATATTTAAATACTTTTTTTTAAAGTACATATAAGCTTGTATTATATGTAGAAAATAAAATATGTGTTTATATACAATATGTATTGTGCACGACGCACCTTTTTTTAGTTTCATTTATAATTTTGTTAAAAAGTTTTTGTTAGCGAGTTAAAGTTACAAACATAATTTTGTTTTTCATTTGCCTTTTTGCTACTTTTGTTTGCTCTGTATATATTATATTTTTATGATTATATTACCTTTCTAAAGATACTGTGTTTTCATACTTGCGTACAATCCTTTTACCCACACATAAGTTAAGCTTTACATTTATTTTTTTAACGCACCACCTACCTGTTCATTATTTAATCCCTTCTACCCAAAGGTTGTTAGGAAGAGATTGTTTAACAATAAATTCGCCTTTTGTACTCCACTATGGTTATTGAGAATCCTTCAACAATTTCTGTACTATCGGTGTAATAAAGTGTTAAATAAATTAAATACTCAAACCAATTGAAACAGGCGTACTTATAAATACTAATATTCTATCTTTCCAATTTTGTTTAAATATAAAAAAAATGTTAGAAGACTGTTGTCATTGTGTTTCTATTTGATTCACTCTTTCTATTTGATATATATATATATATATATATATATATATATATATATATATATATATATATATATATATATATATATATATATATATATATATATATATACATCGCCAAGAGCGTTAATCTACATTACAACAAATAAACGTAATATGTAAAAAAAGCTTCGATAATGACAAATTTAATTTCGAATAGTTCACTATACTTTTTTTAAAACTAGTGATCTGGCGCTTCTTAGCTAGTTAATAGCATTTTTAAAAACAATGTATAGCCTGTGTTACTGACTGATAATATAGCTTTCTAAAGGTGGATGAATTTTTAAAATCGATTGAATAGTTTTTGAGTTCTGTATTTATTAACATATTGAAGTTTTGATCCAAACAATCGAACCTTTTATATTTACGATGTCAGTATAGACAAATAAAATTCTAAGTTCAACGTCGACATGTTTCGTAGGCACATTAAAATTAAAAAAAAAAAAAATTTAGAACCCATAATTTCATATCAATAAATAGTGACTAGAAAACCTATTGTTTTTTTTTTAGAGAGAAAAACAAATAATTTTATTGTAACAAACATAACATGAGTTCGACGCTCATAATTGTAATTGAAGATTATATCTTTGAGTAACCATTTGAGCCATGTAACCAATTATATTTATTGGAAAATACATTATTAAAATTTACTCACAATTTGAGAATAGAGTCCTGAGAGTATTTCGACTCTTAAGAGCTATTGAGAGCTTAATGATCGCGGGATGGGCGACCTCTTTAAATATCACCAAAGTCTAATTGCGGTTGTCAGCCCGCCTGCCAAGCATGGCAAGATTAGTTGTTAGCGTATAATAGGCAGGTAGGTAGGTAAATATATAAGACATATGACACCCCTTATGTTTACATTTATCACCTCATTAATCAGTCATAAATGAACCAATTTGAAAAATTCTTTTTTTATCTTAAAGGATATGCTTTCGGATAAAATTTTAACGACAAAACCCCCCAAGGGGAGGCTTACGTTCAGCAGTGGACAGTTAACGGCTGATATGTTGATGATGATTGGGAGTTTAAGACTATACGTGAACTGTTTTTAAAGAACAAATATCAATATAACATAAACTTTTAGTGACCATTACAGGTGATAGACTTTGCACGATCTCAAACAATATGGTAAATGGTAATAGTTATAAATTATGGTTATAATTCTGAGATGAATTACTATTTTTTTTATAGAATATCACTATTGTAATTGTTATTCGATGTTTTTTACTACACATACAGCAAATAATGATGGCCCACCTGGTCGAAATTGATAAAGTAAAAAATAGTAAATCTTTAGTTTTTTTCAACTAGAATTATAAAGGAAGAAGGTTCTATATTCTTATTTATTTATTTATATTTATTTGCATCCCACAATAAATTAGTTGTTAGCGTATAATAGGTAGGTAGGTAAATATATAAGACATATGACACCCCTTATGGTTACATTTATCACCTCATAAATCAGGCATTAATGAACCAATTAGAAAAATTCTTTTTTTATCTTAAAGGATATGCTTTCGGATAAAATTTCAACGAGATTATCGTAGAAATTTTATCAAAATCGGAATTGTAGTATAATTTTTAATACCTAGTACATATAAATATATAGTTAGTATATATAATTTAGTATAATATCTCCATTACTTATATTATGTGATCTTTTACCAAATCCAAAAATTTTGTACTTCATAGAAACAATTTTATGTTCCTAAATACAACAGCTTCGACTATAAAATAATTAGTGTCTTATAAAAACTGTATTACAGTGAATGATTAGTAGTTAGTTTATATTACGCTCACTATATATATATATATATATATATATATATATATACACTCCAACTATCGAATGAGGTTATAATATGAACATAATTTTAAATATTCTTTTGTCAAATATACCTTCCTCTATTCCCTATATTTTAACATTTTGTACTCATGTAGTCGATCCACAGAGAGGTCTGTATAATATTAGGACCTATTACGAGGCTATATCCTCGGGGCTATTAGGAAAGATCCATGTAGGCGACGTTACCGAAGAAACGTTGCTGGTAAAGAGTGAAACGAACGCCAGACACACCTAAAAGTTGCGTGCTATCCATAATTTACGCAGAATACAATGATACCGACTACCAATTTTGTACAAATCGAGTAATTTATATTACACATACAATGTATTAAATATGTAGAAACAATACAGTTATTTAGCATTTGAAAATAATAAATGACTACTATTTCTGAAGATTATTTTTCAATTATTACAAGATTGTTTTTTTTTATACAACTAAGAATGGCAAACAAGCTGATGGCCCGCCTGATGGAAAGTGGTAATCGTCGCCTATAGACATGAGCAGTACCATGGACATAACAGAGTATACTGTTTCGCCCATGCGTTACACCCCATTCCTGAGGACTCAGATGCTATTCTTTTGTACCCTGTAAATTCACTGCCATTGTAGGGTGGGATACCCTTCAAACCGAAACACAGCCGTGCAAACACAACTTTTTCACGGTAGAAACACGAATGGGACAGAGGTGGTCAAGCAAACGACTTTTGTACAAAGTCTTCCTCTGGTAAATTTATTAGCTTATTTGCTATACTAGGCAATAAGTAAATAAAAAATTATTTAGACGAATATTCTAGCTTTAGTTCGCAGCTTTTGTACTTTGAAGTAATGAAGTAAGAAGTTTTGATTTTGAAGTAACGAAGTAGTAATGTACAGTGAAAACATTAGTGTGTTCCACAAGGAACAATTCTAGGACCAAATTATCTGATACTTTTAACTATTAAGTTGAACTCGAATTAAAACATGTACAGTTTTACGAAAAGAAAGGAGGCGTGAAATTGAAAACGTTTTTTTTTTTCTATAAAATCTTGCTTTTATTTATTGCATCAATCACATAGTGATTTCTTATTACAAATTCTATACATAACAAATTCATTATGTACAAAATAAAAATAATAATACTTAACATTTTTTTTGACATTTTCAAAAATGCTCATTTAGTATACCTATCTATAATTTCACTATCAAAAGGCTTTGGTATTAATATACGTATCCTTGTTCAGGGCTGAAGCTTGGTGGTTGCCGAGGGCCTCCGAACTGTTGTCCAGCTGGACCACCGGCGGAGGGTTGAGAGCTGCTTTGTCTTCCAGCAGGACCCTGGCTAAGACCCTGGCTAGGGCTCTGGGAACCAGGTCTGTTGTACTGGTATGGAGCAGAGTCTCCCACTGATGGCCTTGATTGGGATGCTGCTTGGCTTCCCCTACCGATATTTCCAAATGCATTCTGGGAAGGTCCTGCTCCAGTTGATGAAGCCTGGCCAGGTCGCGAACCGGTTCCAAATGGTCCTTGATTACCAGAAGAACCAGCGGGTCCAGTAGAACCTAAAGATTGCCCGGATGGTCTAGGACTAGTCCCAAATTGCCCTTGATTTGCAGCTCCGTTTGTTCCAAATGTTCCTTGACTGCCAGAGCTGGGGGTATTAGACTGAGCTTGTCCCTGGCCGGGCCTGTTAAATTGAGCGCCAGAAGAACCTTGATTTGAGCCAAAAGGAGATCCACCCTGTGGGCGATTGTACTGATATCCAGCATCATCTTGACTCTGAGATCCACGAGCCGCAGCTCCCTGTGCACCTTGACTTGCTTGATTGAATTGACCAAATGGTCTATCAGCTCCAGTAGAAACTGAAGCAATACCAGGAGCACCATATTGTTGAGATGGGCGTTGCCCTTGAGGCTGGTTGAAATTACTACCAGTTCGTTGAGCTGCAAGCTGACCTTGGTTTGATGGAGATCCAGCATTAGGTGCTCCATATTGTTGAGATGGACCTTGAGCAGATCCTTGAGGTTGGTTGAAGTTACCACCGGTTCGTTGACCTGCACCCTGAGCTTGGTTGAACGGAGATCCGGCATTAGGCGCCCCGTATTGTTGAGATGGACCTTGAGCAGATCCTTGTGGCTGATTAAAGCTACCGCTAGTTCGTTGACCTGCACCCTGAGCTTGGTTGAATGAAGATCCGGCACTAGGCGCACCATATTGTTGAGATGAACTTTGAGCAGATCCTTGAGGCTGGTTAAAGTTACCGCTAGTTCGCTGACCTGCACCCTGAGCTTGGTTGAATGAAGATCCGGCACTAGGTGCACCATATTGTTGAGATGGACTTTGAGCAGATCCTTGGGGCTGGTTAAAGTTACTACCAGTTCGTTGACCTGCACCCTGACCTTGGTTGAATGGAGATCCGGCACTTGGTGCTCCATATTGTTGAGATGGACTTTGAGCAGATCCTTGTGGTTGATTGAAGGTGCCACCATTCCGTTGTCCTGCACTCTGGCCTTGGTTAAATGCAGATCCACTGCTAGGAGCTCCATATTGTGAAGATGGGCCTTGTCCGCTGCCAGGAGCACCATATTGTTGAGACGGACCTTGTCTGCTGCTAGGAGCTCCATACTGTTGGGACGGTGCTTGACCGGATCCTTGTGGTTGGTTGAAGGTATTACCTTGAGTTCCCTGAGGTTGGTTGAAAGCACCGCCTGTCCTCTGTCCAGCTCCCTGATTATATTGTGAAGAAGCACCACTAGGTGCACCGTACTGTTGAGAAGGACTTTGAATTCTTTGAGGTTGATTATAGGAGCTACCAGATTGACCAGCGCCCTGATTGTATGATGGAGAAGAGCCAGTTGGAGCACCGTATTGCTGAGATGGACCTTGGCCAGATCCTTGTCGCTGATTGTAAGCAGCGCCTTGTCCAGAGCCTTGCCCCTGAGTAAATGGTGAAGATCCAGTGTATTGTTGAGGCTCATTTTCATATTCTTCAGGGCGGTAAGCACCTAAAAAGTGACAATCAATTATTTGCAAAATAGTACTGGCAAATGTATAAAAACTGTCGATGTATCTAATGGAATGTGTAATTACCCTATATACATACGAACAATATTTTGAAAAATATGAATATTCTCAACTTGTTGGCAACAGACCTCTTTTGAAGAATGAAATTACATAAATTGCATATATACATATAACTATGGGTTTAGAATAGAAATTTTTAAGAACAATTTAGTATTATCGAGAATTTTTTCTCAAGTTTTTATTAAAATTATTTTACAAAAAATCTATTACCTTCTTGAGTTCCGGCAGCGGCGGCTCTGGCATTCTCCTCAATAGACCTCAAGATCTCATCGGGAATTGGTGGAGAAGTAGGAAGGTGGTCACCCTGAGGCTGGTAGCCGTTCTCATCAGCTGTATATGTCACTCTGTATACTTCACCGTCATCACCAGTGTATGCAAAACCGCCTTGAGCCTGAACACCGTTTGTAGCTACACCTGATTCTTCAGCAGTAATACCATTGGAAGTTTCAAAACTATAGGAGAAGGTTTCACCATCGTTTTGGTTGTCGTATCTCAATATTTCGGCATTTCTATCGGCGGCTGCCTGAGCACGTTCAGGCTGTTGGTATGCCTGTCCCGCTCCCTGACCTCCTTGTCCAAAACCAGATTGTCCAAATCCGGGACCCGATTGACCGGAAGGTCCTGACTGTCCAAAACCTGGGGCACCTGCAGTTTGTCCGTATTGCGAAGGTGCAGATGATTTACCAAAATCTGTGCCAGCAGACTGCTGACCAAATCCAGACTGCCCAGATGGCCTGCCGAATCCAGCCTGCCCTGACGGTCCTGATGGTTGGCCGAATCCAGATTGACCTGAGGGACCCGAACCTTGAACATAAGCAGAAGATGAGGCACTTGGCTGCCCAAATCCAGCCGAACCAGATGGTTGAGCAACTCCTGCTGGTCCTTGGCCGGCGGGGCCTGAAGGTCCAGAACCAAAAGGTGTATTCAGAGACCCAGGACTTCCACCAGCACTAGCAGCGCTAGCAGGTGGTAAATATGTCCTGTCTAACTTAGCAGCATAGCCACAGGCTATAACTGACAAGACTATAATCTGAAAAAAAAAGAAAATAATTGCCAATGTAAAAAAAAGTTAAAAATGCCTATATTTATCTATATTTTATATATGTACCTATATTTTAAAATCAAATTACTACTACGAGATTATTTGTTACAAATGTATGAACTCATTTTACGTACTAAATAAATAAATATTTGTTTAATTATTTACAATAGATGAGACATTTAGAAGTTGCTATACATTTAAAAAATAAAATAATTTATTGAAATTTAGAAATATATACAAACTATTTTATACTGAAACAAGAAAACTTATAATATTTAAAATTATAATAGACTAAATCAAAAAGTGGATATTATATTAAAATCGTATATTGTTTAAACAAAAACAAAAGAAACTAGTCGCAAACTTGAAGTTTGAAGTACCTCTTTATCTATATTTTTGAGATACTGAAGCCTAAAAATAATGAATCTTTAATTGCAAGCTAGTCTAGTTTGCTTTAGTTACGAGTATATTCCAAAAAAAAACTAACAAACCATATCAAAATGTTCTTTTTTATATACTTTCTTGTTTTAATATAATTAAATTGTTCGTAAAAAGAATAATGTTAATACACATATATCCCATTAATATATGCCATTAATATGTTTACACCATAAAACTCTAATTTGTTTATTTATTTACGCTTTATTTCACTATTTATTAAAATAATAAGTATAATAATCTTTAAAGTGAAATGAAAATAAAGGAACAGTAATGAATGTTAAAAAAAAATTTATGTACTTTGATGGCACTTTTCACGGTATATATTTTTATAACGAGGGTAATATAGAAGCATACGTTCGGCCTGATAGGAAACGGCTACTACAGAGAGCTTGTAGCTGTCTGCCTTACCAATATTTTTTTTATAAATAAATTAAGTCACAGTAACCGATAATTTCACTGCCCTATACCCTTAAGTCACAAATTAACACTTAATTCCTTCATTTATTATGTTGTTACATTAAATGTAACTAGATTAAAAGTTAATAAACTTTTAGACAAAATAATATCAATAAAAAAACACTTCGTTATAACAAAAAAAAAATTAATTTGTGGATATAAAAAAATATAGATATAAAAATAGATTGTTGCACTTTTCAATATGGATCAATTGTAAATTTTTCGAATAAATAATTTATATATTTTTAATAGGAAAAATAAACAAAACAAATTACCAGCTTCATATCGAAAGCTGTTGATTTGCCAGAAAGTGAATACGGAATGTGGCATCTTGCAGATTGCACCCTATTTATATGTATCTATATTCGCTCTCGTATTTCACAGACTCACGGTCCTAACCTTTGACTCGTCGTAGCGGATTCACTAGTTTGTGTGTGTCTATATGTTGCTCAACGAACGATCGATTTTACCAATACACTAATTATTCTGTACGGTGTGTGTATGTGTGTGTGTGTGTGTGTGTGAGCCCAAGATGGACGGATTTACTTTGTTAGCTTCAGTTTTTAGGGGTCCGTTGCACAATAACAAATGGCCATTCAATGTTATATCTAATTCAGTAATTTAGACAAATATTGTGCTGTTAATTTAAATGTAACTCCGTCTATTTGATTTATACGGCTGGACAGATGGGTTTGGATGATATTTGATTCTCGGATAGCTTTGGTGCTTCTTCATTTCTTCTTATGCTCGCCGTTTTGTATTGTTTTAATGTTTTATTTTTTATTTAATCTAAATTTAATTCAAGTAATTTGAATTTTTGGGTGTCATCAAATGAATGAAAATTATTAATGTTTTTATTCATTTGATGACATTTAATAGTTAAATATTTTAAATATTAAACTATTAAATTATATTTAAATTATTAATTATTATTTTAAATATTAAAAATATAACTAAATTATTATATATTTTTTAAACACAGCATGCATTTAGTGGCAATCACACCACTAAATGTAAGAACAGTTAGATGTAATCCACTAGTGTATTGTATTGAAATGTTTCACTGAATCTTATATTGGTGATCCTAAATAAATAAATATTTACAAAAATTATATGATCTTTTTTTAATAAGTATAAAATAAGTAAGTATAAGTGTGTTCGAAAAAGTCATCAATTCGGTTATAAAGGTAATTAGAAATGTATATTGCTCTGTTTAGAATATAACTTGAGGTTGTTTCTGAAAAGAAAGGTCATAGAAATACTAGATTGAAATAGTATAAAAAATATATGCAATTAATTTACTAATTATTTTATGTACTATTTTTGGAAAATATTTTTTTTTTAAATACATTTTAGAATTCTACGTCTGCCTGCCATTTTTCCAAATTATATAATCTTTGGAAATGGGGTAATACGGTTTTATTTATATTACCAAAGTTTTGATTTTTTTTTATTTATATGCTTAAATATTTATTTCAGTAATTAAACTTATTTATTTATGCATTTAATACTTTATTGTGCACACTAAAATTTAATTTACCTCTGTCATGTTTTTATGTAAATGTACAAAGGTGAGCTTAACTCTAAAAGAGTTCTCTTCCAGCAAACCCAAGGTGAAAAGGAGCATCAATGTCGGTGGATAGAGCGCTGTACCTTGTGAAAATTTTTTAACAAAGGAACTAAACAAAAAGAAATTTATGACTTGCTGACCCGTCAGACTTATCCTCTTATTATTTTTTTTCTTTCGATATATATATATTATTATTATTTCAGCCGTTAACTGTCCACTGCTGGTCATAAGCCTTCCCCTAAGTGGAATTCTGCCAGTAGTTGCCACGCTTGTTTTTTTTTATACAACTTAGAATGGCAAACAAGCTGACAGCCCACCTGATGGAAAGTGGTAACCGTCGCCTATAGACATGAGCAGTACCATGGACATAACAGAGTATACTGTTTCGCCCACGATACCCCCCATACGTTGCCATTCCTGAGGACTCAGGTGTTATTCCTCTGCACCCAGTAAATTCACGCTATATCCCACCCTTCAAACCGAAACAGCCATGCAAACACAAGGTAGGTGGATTGGCAGCCTTTGGTGATGTTTTAAGAGGGACGCTGCTGCCTATCCCTCGCCCTCCCTAAGTCGCCTGTTATGAAACCTACGGAAAAGGGATGGGTGGACCATTCTATGCCGGGACCACACGGCATTTCGATATATGCTTATATATAATACTATAAAATAAATATTAGCCAAATCGGTCCAGCTATTCTCATGTAATGCGCTTTTAGCAGCAACGGCGGACGCTTTGCCAATAAATAGCAATTAATTTTTATTTATATATCTTAAAATAGCATAAAATAAAGTCATTGTTTGCTGTTATGTCTGTTTCTTCACTTATTACTTGTAAACTACGCAACGGACTTTGATATGGGTTTCACCGTTTTTTTTTCGAATTATTTGTAAGTGCAAAATATCTGTATTAATTTTTTTTTATAAATAAACTAGCTTAAGCCCCCAACTTTGCTAATGTGTAATATTCGATTTCGCCCGGGAGTCATTTTTCTCTCTCAGTCTTATGAAATAAGCTATTGGATGCGAGGGAGACTTTGTACAAAAGCCGTTTGCTTGGGCACCTCTGTTCCATTCGTATTTCTACCGTGAAACAGTTGTGTTTGCATGGCTGTGTTTCGGTTTGAAGGGTGGGATATGGCGTGAATTTACTGGGTACAGAGGAATAACACCTGAGTCCTCAGAAATGGCAACGTATGGGGGGCATCATGGGCGAATCAGTATAGTCTGTTATGTTCATAGTACTGCTCGTGTCTATAGGCGACGGTTACCAGTTTCCATCAGGTGGGCCGTCAGCTTGTTTGACATTCTAAGTTGTATAAAAAAAAAGACTTCGCATGTAGTTCGTTTATATTTATATATGTATACCCCCATTTTTTTCTATATAGATCGTCGGTCAGTCAGTCAGTCAGTCAGTCATATTTGTAAGATGATCAGTTCGCAAGATGAGAGAGAGTTTATTTTCATATTTTTAATTTTTTAAGCAATAAACTGACCATTTTGTATTACTATGGCACACGCATGAAGGAATGGTAACAAAGGAGAATGTTAGATTATGTATTTTATTTTTGTATTTTTTTTTTTTTATTTGTGCTTTTTTTTATTTTTATTCTTTTGTCTCTTTTGCTGGGTATTACGTGTATGTTTTTTTTATTGTAATTTGTGTGCTGTAAGTAATGTAAATAAATTGTCTATCTATCTATCTATCTATCTACCATTACATTTTGTATGTGATGATATTTAATAGAATATTCTTATGTTATTACCATTGATTGCAACACTATACAAAATTATACCATTTGTCTGTTACTAAATCACGATTACAGGTAAGCAGATGCTTTTCCGTAACTTATAATACATTATTAACTTTTATACTTTCACATTGCACGGTTTATGGCTTAACTTAAGGGACAGGAATTAACCTAAACATTTAGGTCATCGCCATCTCAGCCTTTAACTGTCCACTGCTTAACATAAGCCTCCTTAGGAGGTTTTGCCAGTAATTGCCACGCTTGGCATACGAATTGGTAACTGCAGTTTGACTCTTGATGTTTAAAGAGGGACGCTGCTGTCCTTTTTTTTATACCACTGAGGTGGCAAACAAGCATACGGCCCACCTGATGGTAAGTGGTTACCGTAGCCTATGAACACCTGCAATACCAGAGGTATTACGCGTGCGTTGCCGACCCTAAGGAAACCCCTTCACCCCCCTTTTGGAGAACCCCATGCTGTAGTCTCTTGGGAAAACCTCGGCAGGGAGCTCATTCCACAACCTGAGTGTTCGTGGGAGGAAACATCTCTGAAACCGCGCAGTACGCGACCATTGAGGCTGTAGGACATGAGGATGAACTCTCTGTCGATGGGGAGCCGTACGATGGTAGATAGTGGCTGTGGGCATCATATTGAACAATTTCTCTGAGCACAATCCATTGTCCTTCCTTTCTCTCACATAGTCGCCTCTTACGACGCTCACGGTAAAGGTAGGGGTGGCCTATTCTATGCTGGGACCATACGGGAATATTTAGGTAAATGATAATAATTTACCTGGGTTCTTTATGGTAACCCCATCTGAGCTATCGGTAAACACTGGCGGGGCACGAGTGAGGGATGATAGGTGAGGATGAAACAGGTTACTGGATGACAATGGAAGAATGAAAAGGCAGGGCAGTTAGCCCGTCATGATGAATACTCTTGGAATTCAGCACGATGGTTTCCAGGAGGGACCATGGGGAGGTCGACCTGTTAGAGTATATTGTTAGCAATGGGAGTGGTAATCCGCATTACTAACAATCCCTTCCCCCCCCCCCCTGATGGAACAAGTTAGTTAGCCTTTCATGATGGAAATCAACATTAAATGAATCACAATGGTATCCAGAAGGAACCGCGAGGAGATAATACTGATAGGGTTTATTGCTAGCAATGGGGCTGTAAGATCTCCGTTACTAACAAGTCTTTCACCCTCTACAGAATTTTGTTAGGTTGCTGTCTATTCTTAAGAATAAACGAGAAGAGAACATTGGTTGAAATAATAAAGAATAGAAGAGGCAAAATGCTGGGCCACCTTATACGACATGACGATTTTTTCAAGAGCATAATAGAAGGAAAAATAGAGGGCAAAAGAGGAAGAGGAAGACCGAGGATTAACTTCATAATATTAACTTCATAATTTCATACCCATTACTAACAATACCTTCCCTCCCCCCTCAAATTTATTTGAATTATCTCGACATTTCGACCAGGTCACTCCATGGGTAGTCATGTCTCCGCTTCCGAAACAGAAATGTTTTCTTCTATCCACTCTTTGTCCCAAGTTAGACTAATTTTGCCACTATACTGAGGATGTCTGCACTCAGCGCTGATCGTGTATTTATCCCACTTTAGTGAAATAATGTTTTTTTGTGTTACTGCGTTCCATGTTTTATTTCTTGATTTCAAATAATAATAATAAGTGACACGCACATTGCCATATTTAAATAATTTTTGAGGGGACATCTGGCTTATTAAAAGGTATATATATATATATTTATATATATATATATATATATATATATATATATATATATATATATATATAAATCACGGCTGATAGGGAAAGGGAAAGAAAAGCTTGATAGTTTTGACCCAATAATTTGTAGTCAAGATGCCTTCGCAATTAAGTTAGAATCTAGGTATTACATTGATAAGAAACCAAGCACTAGATTCATGGTCCTATACAAACATTTTTGTACAGTTTAGAATAGCATACAAGCTGACGGCCCACC